ATTTCTCTTCTTTTTTGTTCCATGTTGCGGTTATGGAAGTAAAGTATGTCATCCAGTAGGCACACAGTCTTCTCCATCACAACTTCAAAACGCTGAAACGACGTTGTAGACCTAATTGTTCGTTCTCTGACCTGGATGTATTACCTTTAAAATCACCTTCTGATTTTGTTCTTTATCGCCACTCTTACAAATTATGTCGAATAGAGGCCCAATCATAGGCATTATCATCAAACCGCCAAGAGGGAAAAATCGGCGATACGATTCTTTGAGCTAAAAATATCTCTCTTAAGGCATATTTCAAACGCGAAATAAAATTTTTTAGGTGATTTCTTTTCGGTAGACTGATTTGAGCCTGCAATGGAAACAAAGTTGGACTTCTATTGCACATTCGAGCAATGTTCCAACTGACCTGCTTCAACGTGTAGGGCATGTCTCTGTTACCACATTCCTCTTTCAAGTATCCATAAAACTCGTCCAACAATTCTTCCCATTGTTCTTGGCGGTCTTTTCCGCTAAGACATGCACACATCACACGGACGAGATCAAATGCGGGACATCCAAAATGAGCAGTCTGAACAATGGCTTGGTGAAGAAGAGTGAACGATCATATTGGGCGAAGCTTGTCACTAACGCATTCAAAGAAAGGTTTTAAAATGTCATAGTTGTCACCAGTAAAAAAAGATAAATCTCCTCTCACCGCCTCACAAAGATTTCACAATCAATATATCACCATTCTACAACGATATTAACACTGACGTCAAAAGGTGAGTTAGGCAAGGCGCCACCCTCGAGAACATCATGCGAACATTTGATCGTGACAACATCGGAGTGAAAAGCAATGGCCGGCAATAACACCATCTTCGCTGTGCTGACGATATCGCTCTTATAGCACCAAACACTTGCCAGGCAGAACGAATGTTAACCGGCTTTGATAACGCTTGTAGAAAGATTGATCTTTGAATAGATTTCACGGAAACGGCGTTCTTCAGGAACGGATTGGTTTCTTATACCCCATTAATGGCCAACGGATTGAATGTCTCAGAAAGATCCAACTATATCCGTGTAGTTCGGGAAATTAACGTGATAAACGACATAGCAGCACTGGCTCGATACATCGTTAGGCCACCGCGAGTCACTCTAAAGGCGGAATATGCATTCGATCACCTCCAAACGATGCTTAATGAAGTCGAATGCATGGCGCATCGCTCAGAGAATGATCAACGCCGAGAGCTTCCTCCTCGTCTTATGCTGCATTTGCTACGATGTGGTTTAATCAGTGCCTTCTAACTAAATAACTCATGTTTTGTTCAACCTTATTTGCTGGAAGTGACGAAGACATCAAAACAAAACCTGAAAGTCGATAACAGCGGCTATTTTGAGGTTATCTTTATTTGTCCTCCAGAGAATGTTCATTGACCAGAGGTCTCCGTGACAGAGAACAGGTCGCATACCTGAAGCATCTATGGTAAAAGTAGCAATGGAATCTGTTTCTAAAAAAAGCAAGATTTTTTTCTGTTTTCGTGCACCTGAATTAATAGTTTCTTTTTAGCAAAATGATATTTTCCAAGTAATACAGATCTAATGAATTGATTGACTTGAACTACAGCGTTTGTTTCTTGCTCACCAATTTCTTCGGGTAATCTATCCGCCCATTCAAGATCCACCAGATGTAGGAGAGCCTTCTCTAGTCGGTCAAATTTACTTGACAGATGTCCTATAAAGGTGCGCAAAATCTCCATCAAGTTGCCGAGTGTCTAGATAGATCCTCATTGGTCAAGAAAAACGCCCAGGAACTATATTAACAAAACAATGAAATACTGATAGGTAGCAGTGACTGCAACCTCTTTATTGAAAAAAGCTCCACAAATTCCAGTGAACGGTTTATCCATGAATTCATCCTTTTCTTGTAGAGAAAAATCAAGGGACATCGCTTCGAGTACAGCTATCGCTCGAAGAATCTGAACACCCTGGCGTGGATTGAAGAACAATATCGGATGCTTCCAGGAAGAAAGACGACGATCACCTGTTTCACAGTTCCCGTTGTCACGTTTTCATAGATGTGCACCGTTTTCAGTTTGTCCAAATACTCCATGATGATATATCCCTTTAGTGGGTTGTTTTCGGAGAATTTCTTCATAAAGAAAATCTGAAAGACAATTCTTCGAATTCTTCAATAATACACGGTACCACTAACGAACCACCCTCTGTTGTTCTATTAACCGACTTCCGTTTAACTACGAAATGGTATTGGAACAAGTGCATCGCTCCACTGTTAGGCTATCAAAGGATTTGCTTAAAAAATCTTATTCGGCTTGCACTTCGACGCCTTCTCCTTCTTCAGACACTCACTGATGAGAGTCGATTATTCATAGCTGTTTGTTCTCGCATTATGAGTGTTCGTAGTCACATGGATTTCGGAGTGAGCATCGCTCGAGTAAAGTAACTTCACTCGTGCTCCTTTATATTGACTCGTCACTCATCACCTCTTTCAAGCAGCATTCCACTTCACAGAACTTAGTTCGACTACAGAAACCCACATCTCGAGAACGAACGACAGTGGACTTGACTAGAGCGACTCGGATCATTGGCTCAGAAGAAGGCGAAAGCGCAAAAACTTTAACAGAGTAATAATTTTTGCACCACCCTCGCTTTCCAATGGAACATTGCATCAATAATCTTTTATGCTTGATTATGATTCATATATTTATCCCTTTATTATTTTTTACTCTAGTTTTTGCAGATGAAGGAAACAAGGAAAAGATGAACGAAGACAAAATACGCCAGACAAAAGCTGAAGAGATAAGACCTTTGCTATATTTATTATAAAATTTTGTTAGAAAAACAAAAAAAGTGAGCACCAAACCTTCGGCAGTGGAAATTTTTTCTCGGTCATATGAATCAGATGACTGTAGACAGTCACTTCGGTGTTATGACACTGAATGATTGAGCTAGGAAATCAACGAAACGAAACAGTATGACTCCGAGTGATTTTTTCTATTTTACTCACACGTTTCTGGTGGTATTCAATTGTGGCCTTGAATTCTGGATTGCTAAATTTGTTCTCGATGTTCTTTTCTTTTGCTATTTCCTTGGTGAACCGTTGCATGACCAATTGAGTGAGAATCTAAATAACATAGGAAAAGGTAGACCTGGACAAAGTGATAACTTTTGAAACCTCTAAGTTTTCTACTTTTTTATAACTAATACGGGTAATAGTAAAGTGCTTTAGCATTCCCATTTGATTTACTGCATCAGGCAGCTGGAAGCTCATTGAATGCTACAAGAGTTCATCTCCAGTACCGTCTCTTGAGGAAGTACTTCCACAAAGCCAAAAGTCTAGACAAAGTTGGACTTGGCACGACTAAACGGACCAGTTTTTGCTGCTTTTGTCTTTAAAGGAACACTAAAATAAACGCCGTTACACGAACATGGCTATACTTTTCGGACTAAATGTGTAAGCCTGTAAGCGGCTTTCACACACAATGAGGACGAATGAAATCTGATGGCGGGAGCAGGAATTAGTCAATGATTAAGGACATTATACACAATACAAGTGATATCACCTAACCAATATTTTCATTACGATATGACTATACAGAACTTCTCCCTTGGAAAGTTCTCTATCTATCTAAATAATAGTATTTGAAGTCCATATATAGCCTCCTCGCACTCGCACTCGCACATCAAACACCGCAATGTAACCTTTTATAATCTTCTCGATCAATTATGTTCAATGTTTCAGGCACAATAGCGATTCAGGTTTGACTTCAGTAGCATAGCGACGATGGCTTATCCGAAGGAGGCGTAACCAGATGTCTCCACTTATCAACGTCCTATTAGCTTACCGCATTTGGCACAATAGCGATTCAGACAGTTAGGTACAGTGCGGTCCAGGATCAACAATCCAGATTAACCGCGGTTGCATACGCTCGCGGCTCCTGCAGCCGATATAAGCCAGGTGCCTTCGAAGGCGGAGACATGCCATCACTCACCTTACCCCCGATCGGTAGCGCGGATAATCCGCTCCTCACAACCACATCCTCAATCATCCTCAATCATCCTCAATCACCTCAACTCATTCTTAGTCATAGTCATTCATTCTTATTCAATCACATTCATTCACACATTCACATTCATCCTTCAGTGATCAGCAGATTATTGTATCTTGTTTCTCAGCTTGTCTACGGTGCGACGTCAGTAGTGGCGGGTGTTACCAAATGCGTTCTGTTTGCAACGCCATCGGTGGCATGTACCATTCCTCCCACAATGTACACGCAATGTGTACAATGCCGCTAAGCGGCCAACTTATGCTGTGTATTCTGCTAAGCCGCTATAGGCCTATCGGTTTTGTAGCCACTTATCATACTGGCCCTTACCCTTAGGCAATGGTGGCACCCATCGATGCTCAAAGTTCACGTTGCTGACATAGCGTTATTCACGACCAGCCGCCTGACTGTGTTCCGTAGATGACTCATCATTCACTGTCCATAGCACCGTCAACGCTCATGTAACTTACAGTCCTCATCGATTCACTAAAATGCTCCTCATGGCTATAATGTTGAAATCTTAGCTTGGCCGAAACATAGCCAGTCTGTGACCCTCACCACCTCAGCATACTGTCTCCATCTGCGCGGCATACAGTCTCCTCCCTCCGCCCCCAGCATACTGTCTCCCTCAGCCGCCGCGCCGGCCGCGAATAGACGCGGCGCGGCATCGCTTACGGTTAAGCAAAGGCTACTTCGTTGTAATCTCATTATTATTGTTAATATTGTGTTAATGGTATTACAATGTTTGAATGCCATTGCCTCATTGTTAGCCTCACTTCACTACAGGCCTTAGCACCTCAGAGCTCTAACTTGTCTCATTCCTCTACCATTACTTCTCTATAGTTACTATCATGTTATTATTGTTGCATTTATGTATATGAAGGTTTAATTACCCAAGTTTGAGGCTGGGTAGATCAACTACAACAACTAAAAGACCCGCGTGGCTAATATTCTACATCGATCTGAAACGCTACACTTCGCCGCTAACCATTTCGTTACAATGACCTGGCATCATCATTACCACACTGCTGGGGCTCCAGCGCTTCTTGCATTCGATTCAGTTCCTCGTATCCATCATCTACCCAATCTTCAAACTTTTTCTGCGTTTGGGTCCAGTCGATGCTTGAAGATTCCTTCGCGTTCGTCACCAACGTCATTGAATGCAGTTCAATGCCATTCTCGCCGGAATTCTGAGGCATCCGTACTAGTGCGTTTCCACATGAATAAGAGCGAGTGATCTTGTCCCAGAAAAATCCACTACAGATTTTTCGGCTCCGAAAGATCAAAGGCTTAGTGGGTTCGGTGAGCGGTCGAACTACTCCCTGAGTTGATTGGACTATCTGAATAACAAATGGGATCATACTACGCTATGCGCTCCCTTGTTAAATTAGCTTCATTAATTCCCAATACCGACTTTCTCTTAACCTGGTCATTGATTGACAATTGGATGTTTTTCAATAAGCAGGAACTAAGTCAGTATTATAGAACTTATTAGCATATAATAGCTGACGTTTCGGCGGTTTCGCCTTCTTTAGAGCCTGAAAACTTCAAATTGAGACGCCATTTACTCAGCCAAACACTTTCATAACCCTAGCAGATAATACTTAACACATAAATTTGCATTCGCATAATAAACAGCTTCATTTGAACACCCATCGTTTATTCGTTGCAAGTATTCTAGTGGGTGGAGAGCAGTCGGATAGAGTAATAAATAGGCGAGGACTGTGCCTGGTTCAGGTCACTGAATTGAAAATTTACTAGATCATTCGCAAAAACCATTTTCAGTTAAACAAAGCAGAAACGTGTACGAAAGTGCTAGCAGTGAAAATGTGGTCGATAACGTGCGAGAAAAGTCGAGGGTCACCGTGTTAGGAGGCATAACTCTTCCCTTGACGCGCGTGCTATTAGTATTCGATTCAAGTTGCTTGCCAGCGAAACCCATTTCTAAAGAAACCCTGCTTAGGATCGCGTGCAGCCTGCACGAGCTTCAAGATCGACTTCGCAGCAATGTTAGAATTGAAACGCGAAAAGGAAAGGGACAACGAGAAGTAGGGACATTACCACCACCTCCTTCTCCACGATCGTTCATTAGACAGCAGGATCTTAACGATGAAATAGATATCAAATTGCGCATATTTTCGAACGAAACTCTGAAAATCCTTAATCACTATCGTGTGAGAAAGTCTAGTTCCAACCTCACAACTGAGCAAGAATCTGGCATGTGCCAGGTTCGTGAGCTAATAAAACCGAAGACTATTAGACTATTATATCGTATCTCAGCATTGTAATAGTTATATTTCGCTACATATCTTGCCGTTAAAAAGGATAGGCAGTAAATAAAAAAGGTTAAGATTGTGATTATAACTATAGCCTCAGCTTAACTGGGTTCAACGCCGATTTGGGCTTCCCAGATCAATCCCGTTGAGAGGTGATTGCTGATGGCAAAAAGATCGATAGAACTAGCTGAGAGACAGGCGAAACGAAGGACCCGCATAGTGTGGTGGTGTGGTGGTGAACGCGTTACGTCCCGGAAAGGACAATAGCGCGTTCCACTGAAGACATCTGCAGTCCGGAGTTTTGCAAATATCTCAGCATTATAATAACTATATTTCGCAAAATACCCTGCGTTAAAAAGAATAAGCAGCAAATAAAAAATTAGACTAGAGACTATTAGACTATAGACTTAGAATTAGACTTATTAGACTATCAGTTAGTGACAAGGGTGGAGAGTTTGTAGTAGTTCCTCGCCAGTTAAATGTTGATATAATGGAAAAACGTTTTGAATACCCTTCACTTTATCCTCCATCATCTGAAATGGAGTTTAAAAGTAGATACCGAAAACTGAACCACGAATGGGTCAAAATGGCAAGGGCCGCTGGTTTAAAGGTTTAAAACCACCTGTTATCTCTCAACTAAAAGCTGACCTAGCAACATGTCCCGTCTTGTACTTGCTTATCAAAACCCATAAGTTGGTATCCAGCGATAATCTTGTGTCCTCTGACACATCGTTATTTAAGGTCAGACCAATCATTAGCTGTGAAAACGGGCAAACGGATAAGATAACGTGGTTTTTAACCCTAATATTTACACAGTTGTTGTAACACATTCCAGCCCATGTTACGAATACCCAGATGTTTTTGGATCGCCTACGTACTGCGCAGCCCAACAGCGCGTACGTGATAGATGCCTTCGACATCACCGCTCTTCACACTAAAGTGTCGAATGACACCGCAATGCAAGCCATCCGCGAGCTTGTTGAGCAACACGAAGGAGTAATAAACGTATTGCTTTTCGATTTAGCAGCTCAAGATCCTCCTAAAATTATGTTTAAACCTAACCTTTTTATTTATTGCCTATTTTTTTAAATGGCAAATAATGTTGCGAATTATAACTTCTATAATGCTGAGAGATTTGCAAAACACCGGACCACAGGTGTCTGCGGTGGGGCACGAACAAGCCATTACCCTTCCCGGGACAACGTGTTCAACGCCACACCATGCGAATCTTTCGTTTCGCCTTTGTCTCACCTAGTTGTTATCCACCATTACCATCAGCAATGACTTGCTAACGGGATTGTTCTGGGGAGCCCAATTCGGTATTGAACTCAGTTAAGCTGAGGCTATAGTTATATCACAATTTTTACCTTTTTATTTACTGCCTATTCTTTTTAAAGGCAGGGTGTACCACACAAGAGGAGATGTAAAAAGATTTTGAGTTATTGGAAGAACAGTCACGCTACATAAAGCCCACCAGGGAGAAGCCGAAAGAAAACTGGCTTCCATTTCTAAACGTCCAAATTAACCTATCCGAAAACTGCTACATTACGAAATGGTACCGAAAGCAAAGGAGTAAGAATATAGTGGTTCATTACCTCTCCGCTCATCCCACACACTAAAAAGGCGATTATAAGAAATACGTTTCGAACTGCCACCAGCGTGTGCACAGGTAGAGCAGAAGGAAGAATCTTCGAAACTGGCGCGCCAAATAGCCATTTCAAATGGTTATGAAACTGTAGCTTCTCGGCATAGGCGTAGAGGAAAAACCACGCCCCAGAGCGATAATTCTAGCGAAAACAATGCTCCGTTCCTGTTGCCCTTTATTTGAAACGAAATAAGTGCAGCTATAAAACGCTGCTTAATAAGGGCCGGTCTAGAGAATTCCGTAAGAGTGATAGAAATACCACCGGGCATTCTAAGACGCCAGCTAGTTCGCAACCGCCTATACGACCGTCTATGTACAACAAAAAACCGCATAATTTGCCCAAATGGTAGAGACAGTGATTGCATGAGTTCGGGTACAGTCTATCTGATCTCTTGTGAAGCGACCGGGGACGATTACGTTGGCGAAACGGGTAGACCACTCTGCGTCCGCATAAAAGAACACCTAGTCAGTAAATCTAAATTTAAGCCATGCACTCCACTAGGCGCGCATAGGACGCAAAAGCACAACGAAGGAAATTTTAAGGTAGAAGCCACTATCCTCGCACAGGAATCTAAGATATCACCGTGTAAAACTCTTAAAGCGTTTTGGATCAATTCCAAAAATACAAAAATGAACAGCGAGGAGGAGTGTCCTTTTAACACGCGTAATCTTTCCTATCCCAGGCTGATTCAATGACCTGACCCGGGTAGGTTCCTCATCCATGTATAATTCTGTACGGCTGCTCTCCACCAATTAATAGGAATACTTGCCAAGAATAAGGCGTGTGCGGCATAATGGTTGGAGGTGCCACTGCGACACTTACATGGAATCGATCCCCGCGCTCGTGGCTAACTAAGCCTTCTACCATTCCGGGGAGGGCAAATTGCTACCATACTTGTCCAGGAGGATAGCAACACTGGCTTGATACATCGGTAGGCCACTGCGAGTCATTGTAAAGGCCAGATATGCATTCAATCACCTCCAACGACAGATGCTTTCATCCTTTTACTTGCCAATAATAAAGCGCTGTGTGTTTAAATGAAGCTGTTTATTATGCGAATACAAGTTTATGTGTTAAGTCTTATCTGCTAGGCTTATGAAAGTGTTTACCTGAGTAGGTTGCAGGTCGATTTGACCTCTCCATATCAACGTAGAAGGCGAAACCGAAAAGTCAGCTACTGTGTGCTAATAAATTTTACCATAGCAACCTTATGTCTGCTTTCTGATGAAAAACAGCAAATCAGTCTTATTAATTTGTTGTTTAGATCGTAACCGGAATAGTTCCATACATACAGTAGGAGGTTCAGAAATAAATGAGCGTTTTTGCCCATGTTATTTAAAATATCATGGCTTGTTTGAAACAAAACTTTGTTAAACAAAATAAAAACCATTTGAATGTACACATATTAGCGGAAAATAAATTTACTTATTCAAGTGGCATTAAATTCCGAAGTTCTGGAAGCGATGAAGTTGTTGAAGGCATTTTTTTGCATCATCGAGGCTGGTCAGGCATTTCTCGCGCAAGTTGCCAAGGTGCTTGAAGAAGTGATAGTCGGTAGGCGAGAGGTCTGATGAATATCGCAGATGAGACAAAGTTTCGTAGCCTAACTCGCTGAACTTCTGCATCGCTGGTTCCGTAACGTGAGGCTGGGAGTTATCGCAGAGAAGTATTGTTCTTTTTCTATTACCAATGCTGGTCGTTGTTGTTGCGGTAACCCCAAACTTTACTGATACTTTTGTGCAGTGTCTGCGACGCTACGACCAAGTTTGAACTTGTTAAAGAAAATTTGAAGAAAATTCGTTTCCGATGTCTAAAATTGCAAAGTTAAAGAATGGTAAAATAAAGTAACTTTTGACAAGATGTAAAAACTCTCAGAAGAAGGATAAAATTAGCTTTTTAATGATATGTAATGTTGCAAGGTACGAGAAATATTTTGTTGATAAAAAAGTCCACTAAACCAGCAAACAATTTCAAGCGCTCACTTATTCCTAAATAAACTATTTCCTAGTTGCTTATCAGGTTAACTCGTAGTCGAAAAAAAAAAAGCATTGTCTTTACACTTTCTATAACACTCTGCCTCAAGAGCGGGAACACCATAACTCATGCGTGGTGACCCTCATGCAGAAATTGTAACTGTGGGCTGAAGTTCGAGAGTGCGTGGACAACAACGAGTGAAATAAGACGATTTGCACAGACCGACATTATGATCAGCCAAATAATAGCCATCTTGAATGTCTTTCCTGTTTCATTCCCAATAAAGGTCTGAAATGACATTTTCAAGAACAGTTTTCTGGCGATACAAAAAATTTTTATTGATTTTTCCTTCTAGTAAAGAAAGCACAGGATTTGTTGCACTCACAGAAGGTTTACAATGTGATATCGGACTGAGCTCTCAACCTACCTTCACTACGAATTTCTCCGGAAGCTCTTTGTCCTTGTGCTGCCAGTCAGGATCAATGAGCAAAATTTTCGACATAAAGCCCTGGAAATAGCAAAATTATACGCAAAACCTACTTTTTTTTTTCGTTAAGTATAAAGCGAGAATTGGACTTTTCTAGGTTTATACGATCGAAGTGATGCCAATTTGATCTATGGAGAAAATTTTAGCTCCTAATTTAATCAGCTCTCAGTTCTCAAACTTGATGAAAAGTCGCTGATATTAAGTTCTCGTCAAACTCTTCCACTTGAGGTTATTTTTCAGTGGAATAGCACCTCGTGTTTGCTGAACAAAAGTGGAAAGAATTGCTGAGTATGTTTGATAATGAAAAATGATTGACAGTATTATTGAGAATTTAATTACCATTAATTTGGCTTTGTGGGAAAACTTTTAGGTCTTCATATTGGCAAATAATTGCTAGCGCACCCGGTCAACCCTTATACTTATGCTTTCACTAAAACCCAGACAAAAAATATAAGTAAGGAGAACCTTTGAAATTGTTGGGTTCTTCGTGAAAGCACCTAGTATGAGCACCTAGGTTTAGCTACTGTGTTTCCCTGGAGTAAGCTAGGCCGAATTCTGTTGTAGGCCACTACCACCACAAGCAGTCCCCGTCCTTGTGGATCAGCGGGAGATTTGCCACCATGCTGCTGGTCTGCTACCAGGACGGTAGTGGATCCTGATATCGGTTCTTATCTGTGATTCCTGATAGAATCGTTGGACTGTTTCTTAGGTTAGGGGACCCTGCTGGGAAGATGAATGCCACCGCTGTACATCGCAGCTCGACACCCAGGAACACCTCCCAGCCACGATGAGATGGTAAACCTTTGGAATGTTCGGAAGAAACTGTGGATCTAAATCGTGGTATTTATCACAACTAAGTCATGAGGTTACGTGGTGTATATTTTAGTAACAATTAGAAGTGGTGGTCTAAATGCGAATCAAACTAGACGTGCTGTCGTGTTTAGATGCATGGGATGGGATCAGTTTCATCTGGCTCGTTCATGTGAGTGTAACACGTTTACGTGAGTCGTTTACACCAAGGACTGTGTATGGTCGAAAATCATAACTGCATACACTAGAGCTTGGTGAGCTGACTCTAAATATCATTATCTCATAAAAATAGAAGAGAAAATCCAAAACAAAGATTGATAAAGGTTGATAGAAAACAGAGAAACTTTACTGATGCGCGCTACAGTAGTTTGATCATTTGAAGTTTTGCCAGTAACTATATCCCAATTCGTATAGTCCGAATTTACCTCGAAGACGTTGGATTTCCTTTTGCCGTTGTTTAATAAAACACCAAAAATATTTCGTTAATACAAATGAAATGCATTTAATTCGCTGGTTTAATAAATGTAAATGTGACTAGGGTAAATTAAATAGGGCATTTTTATCACGAGCCATTCAAGCCCCTTTTTTATTTACAATCGTTTAATGAATTTGTGATCGGCATCCACGCAGCTTGTCTATTTAAACGCATTGACTTCTACGAACGTCATCCAGTGATAAATCATTTCCACCTGTTAATTTAGTTGTTTGATGTGGTCTGTCCATCACTTCGTTGGTCCATTTGCTTCACTTTTCAGAGGTCCTAACTATGTAGTCCTCTTTGTCGAGTGAGAAGGTAAACCTGCAGTTTTGTTGACTAAACTGTTCAGTGAATTCTCTGAGAAGCTCGAATACAGCCTCTTCTCCCCCGCTTAATTTCCACACTTCTTTCTACGCGCTGTTGTCCATTTTCATTGAATTCCCAACATGGAAGTACGATGCTTCTCTTTACTTAAACAACTATCCATTTCGATTTTTTTCTATGTGACTGCGTTTCATAAGGTGGTTTTTCTTTTGATCTATCCTACCGTTATTAGTATTAACTCAGCTTCATTTTAAACAAACTTTAAGCATTAAAAAGCTTCATTGAGTTTTTTAACAAGCGGACCAGATAAACTGTAGTTTTGACCTAACACCAAAATTTGCCAATCACTATGAAGGAAATAAATAAATTTCATCTTGCAGTAACTGCCACGACCGACTTTCTATTAACCTCGGCATTTATCAAGTAATTTTTGTTGAGCAAACGCGAGGTGTTATTATTCTTTGTTCACGATTAAGCTGACGATTCGGCGGATTTCGCCTTCTTCAGAGCCTGGAAAGGTCAAGTTGATAGCAACTCACTCGGCCAGACGCCTCCATAACCAAACAAAGAAACTCTAAACCAAGATTTCAATCACTTTAAACACAGCTTTGCACACACACCGCTTCCTATGAGGTTTCCACTAAGTATGTCACGTAGAGACCAACCGCACAGAAATCACATGGAAGTATAATGTGCCCCTCACATCAGAAAAGCAGTTTTATATTCTGCCCTACATCACGCGTGATAATGAGGCATTCTTCCCTGCGGTTCATTTTCGGATTTCTGGAATTAATCCAGAGTGCCTCGAGAGTTTTTCGCGCCTGTGTTCTTGATTCGCGTGCGAGGATCGTGACACATACTTCGTAGTTGTCCCCGTTATGTCTCTGGGTCCTATGCGTGCCTAGCGGGGTATAAGAGACCATAAGACATATAACTATAAGACTTTCCGTTAGTGATAAGGGTGGAGAGTTTGTCGTAATTCCTCATCAGTTAGATATGGAGATAACGAAAAAGCATCTTGAGGATGCTTCGCTTTATCGCCCATCATCTGAGGAGGAATTAAAAAGTAAATACCGAAAACTAAACCACGAATGGGCCAAAATGGCAAGGGCTGCTGTTTTAAAACCATCAGTTATCTCTCAACTTAAAGTTGACTTACCAACATGCCCCGTCTTGTACTTATAAAAACTCATAAGTTAGTATCCAGCGATGATCTTGCGTCTAACGATCCATCACTATTTAAGGTTAGACCTATCATTAGCTGCGTAGACGGGCCAACGGAGAGGATAACATGGTTTTTAATCCTAATATTTAACCAGTTGTTGAAACACATTCCAGCCCATCTTACGAATACCCAGATGTTTCTGGATCGTCTACGTACTGCGCANGCTCAACACAAGAGGAAATGGACAAATGCTTCGAATTGTTAAACGCACAGTCAGAGTATATCAACTTCACCCGAGAAAAGCCGAAAGAAAAATGGCTTCCATTTTTGAACGTACAAATTCACCTATCAGAAAATGGCTACATTACAAAGTGGTACCGAAAGCTAAGTAGTAAAAACATCTTGGTTCATTACCTCTCCTCTCACCCCTCGCACACGAAAAGGACGCTTATAAGAAACATGTTTCGAACAGCAACCAACGTGTGCACGGGAAGAGAGCAGAGAGAGGAGTCCCGGAACTTGGCACGGCAAATAGCCATTTCTAATGGCTACGAAACTGTAGCTTAGGATAGGTGTAGGAAAAATCCTAGGTTCCCAAACGACAACACTAGCAATAAAAAGGTTCCGTTTATCCTACCCTTCATCTCAAATGATATAAGTACAGCTATAAAACGCTGCTTAAGAAGGGCGGGCTTAGAGAATTCGGTGAGCGTAGTTGAAATACCACCGAGTAATCTTAAGCGCCAGCTAGTTCGTAACCGCCTATATGACCGTCTATGTGCAACTCAAAATTGCATAATTTGCCCCAGTGGTAGAGACGGTGATTGCATGAGCTCGGGTATAGTTTATCTGATCTCCTGTAAGACGTGTGGGGACGAATACATTGGCGAAACGGGTAGACCCCTCTGTGTCCGCATGAAGGAACACCTTGCCGGCAAAAATAGACCAAATACCCCGCTAGGCACGCATAGGACCCAGACACATAACGGGGACGACTTCGAAGTATGTGTCACGATCCTCGCACGCGAATCAAGAACACAGGCGCGAAAAACTCTCGAGGCACTCTGGATTAATTGCAGAAATCCGAAAATGAACCGCAGGGAAGAATGCCTCATTATCACGCGTGATATAGGGCAGTATATAAAACTGCTTTTCTGATGTGAGGGACACATTATACTTCCATGTGATTTCTGTGCGGTTTCCGCCGAAACGTCAGCTTAATCGTGAGCAAAGAGTAATAACACCTCGCGTTTGCTCGAAAAAAATACGAAATAAATTTCAATATGGCTAGCAAAAGCGCGCATGTGGCGCAGTGGCTGGAGGCGCCGTCCAGCACACTTGCAATCGACCGGCACACTCATGGCCCACCAAGCCTTCCATCCCTCCGGGGTCGGTAGATTGGTACCGAATTTGGCTCCGAGGATAGCAGTACTGGCCCGATGCACTGTAGGCCACCGCGAGTCATTGTAAGGGCTGGATGTGCATTCAGTCACCTTCAAACGATACTTTGTGAAATCGAATGCCTGGTGCAACCCTCAGCGATTGATAAACGTAGAGAGCTTTATCCTTTTTATTGTTAGCAAACATGTTTTTTTCTAAAAGTACGTAAGGATTGACTAACTAAGCGGTTGTTCCATTTCTAATGATTGTTATTTTCGTTTTTACTTTTCCATTATTAAAATAAATTGGTGTAAAGCAAAAGCATAAGGTCCAACTTTGCTCACATTGCCATCGCCAATGTCCTTCGCGATTTTGTTCGGTCCGAATGAGGCGACGGTGTCGAGTTCTCTCTTCATATCTGTTTCTATGTCCTCCCAGGTGACATGTGTTTGGAAGAGTCCTCCTGCCGGAGTGTAGATATTCATCCTACGAGATGATTTCAAATATGAAAACGAAACAAATGTGGTTACATTGATCTAGCCTTTCAACATATAAACCATTTGCGACAAATTTTCTAATAGCATTCTGAACTATGTCGGTATCGTAATTTAAAGAGATCACGCGCCAATCATGTAAACACGATCGCTACCCAGTTGCTGTTTTGTCTACGAAGCGTTACGTCTACGACGAAGGTCACATTTCCGTATGACTCTCGGGAAGCGATGGAGCGTCTTTACGTCTCAGACGATAAAGCACTTTCACCAAGAAAATTCACACCACGTTGCGATACAATCCCACGCAACTACTAAAGGAATTTTCATAGGAAAGGATAGCTTGGAGGTAATAACGCCCTTCAGCAATAGGTCAAAATTCCTGGTTCAACTTCGTCCAAAGGCAGCCGAACCTCCTAATCCATCGCAGATCGGAAAATAGGTATCCCACTTTTTTGGAAAGCTCTATCCTATCTATAAAATTTGGTGAAGGCCTGTGGTGAAGATGCTTGCACGACTCAGCGCGGTTATCCTAGGTTCATAAAGAAGTCAAAGATCCTTAAGTAGTGGCCGAACTCATACATAAGAAATACGAAAACCATCATGGTTGAAACCAATCGAAAAAAAAATTATAGGGATCCACAAGTCCTATGTGATGGCGGCTCATTATCCCCTTCCTTCGTGAAGATGTGTCTAGTTTTTCTCGGATCCCGTCACTGACAACTTCTTCGTTACACCAACAGTTCAGAGGTAAACAAACCGGCATTACATGAAATCTTGTTAAACAAATAAATCCTCGTCGCCTTTTAAGAGGTGAACCATGAAGGGCAGCACGTTAATGCACTTAAATCAAATCTATCTGTTGATGTCACATTTCTCTTAGAAACCTGTTCCATCCAAGAATTTAAGATCACCGCACTTGCGTTTTTAATGGAATATGTCAAAGATTGGTGTAAGCCTACTAATGAGTCGTGTTAGGGACGCATTCACTTATAACATTAACATCACTACGTTTTAAATCCGCATGCAAATTTTAGATCGAAATGTATTTAAAATTTAATTCAACGGCGAATTTGTAGTGCTACATTGTAGTCGTGTGGCGCAATGGTCGGAGGCGCCCTACAACACCCAGTGTTTGGGAGTATAAAAATACTGGCTTGGCACATTGGTAGGTGATTGCAATTCAATTCATGTACCAAATATGCACTCAACCATCTTAACAATGCTTGATGAAGTCGAATACATAGCTCTTTCTGCCAGGACTCGTTAACGCTAAACGATTTGCTCTTCACACTTTAGTGTTTAAGGAATCACCGTTAAAGTGGCAAAACTTCCTATGACCTACAAGATAGGATTGTTCGTGGTCAGTATGTGTGCACCCTGGCACGCTTGTTTCGGTTTTCATGAAAAGCTACGTTAGACCAAAGCTGCATGTTCAATGACAGTGACGAGGGCAGACGTTGAAGAAGTAGTTGTGAACGCAGGCACCACCTCTATAGACGCCGGTTAGAAGACAACGAAAAGATTATACGACTCTAAGGAGCTATATCACTTCGATGAAAAACCACTCAGGAAATGATGAACAGTTTGGTGGCTGGCAAGCATACAATAACATTAAAATCAAGTTCACCACCTCATCGAGAGGGACAACACTGCTATCACTACTTATCAATCAGCATACTTACATGATACTTGAACAGCTCGTTCTCACTAGTTGTGCGGACTCCAGCATAATCACCATTTTTCGGAGATCTGCTGGTTAAGCCATTGTGGCTCCCTGGAATCCCGAGAACAGCCTGGTCAAAGTGTGCCCCAAGTCGTCATCACAACGGGAAGTCACAGCACTTGTGGATCAGAAGGAGATTTGCCACTATGCGACTTTGATACCAGAACGGTGGCGGAACCTGGTTCACTACATCCAAGGCGCAGGTTCGAATCGTAGCCACCACGGGTCCACGAAGTCTACACAACCACTCCGGCGTTGAGAAACTGCTACCGCACCCGTCTGGGATCAGCTGAGTCCATCTATTGAGAAATTGAGAATTGACAAGTAATGGATAACAAATACGTAAAGGAAAAGTTAACAGACGAGAATTGATGAGGCGAAAAATAAAGAAATATGGTCTACTAAAACGAAAGACACAACGTACTCCTATGGGATGGTGATCGCTCCACGTTACATTCATAAAAGTTTTTTTAGAATGGTATGGAATAATTCTGTAATTATTGAAAGGGGCTCGTGTAGCGCAGCGTTCGGATGGGCCCTGCAATACACATCCCTGCTCTCGAAGCTCACCAAGCCTTCCAACCCTTCGGGGATGGCAAAGTGCTACCAGACTTGCCTAGGAGGGTAGGAGCGCTGGCTTGATACATCGGCAGGATACCGCGAGTGTAAAGGCCAGATATGCATTCAATCACTTCAAGGATGATTGATTAATGTATGACGCATCACTCTAGGACGGATCAACGTTGAGAGTATCGAATAATTATAATTATAATAGATTTCTTTAGGATTAATTACATGAATTGTGCAGAAAGAATTGAGAACATCAACTGAATTATGTGGAAAATTCTCTCTGTGAAGAAGCAAGTACTCTTTCGTGTTCGATAACGTACGGCACTTCTAAATCCTAGCGAAGACATTTTAACAAGGAAGTATAAGCATGAAGTCGACAGAATTCATCATGGGTTATAATGTCCTTGGCCGGTGCAGATCAATCGAAATGAAACAAACAGTTCTATTGCATAACAACGCGCGACCGCAAGACCCACAATAAATGAACTCAAAGTGGGAAGTGTCAAAACAAGAAATTGCGCCGATGCTGACCAAAAATCATGAATTTTGCCAGAACGTAGAAAATCATTGTCACTGGGGAGACGTAGTGATGGTAAGTCGCAACCTGGCACATTCCGATAGCAAGTAGCCATGAACAATTCTTGACTACTTTTCAAGAAAACCTCAATTCTTCCTAAAAAGGTACATTGAGGGCAATAAGTTGTTAAAGATTCCGCGAAATATTATACACATGCCTGCTTTCGTCATTTACAGGCTATCACGAGGTTGCTGCCATACATTTATTTGGCTAATGTTTTGACCTCTTCGTCTTCTTCTCGCGCGCGATGATCAGAGGCGATTGCCTACAGTCGTTGTATTCGCATCGAATTGAGTCGAATCGTAAAAAATCTTTTGTGGTTGGCTCGCTCGAGCCTGTGTCATATCAACCATCCTCACTTCCTTGCATGGTCGGAAAATTTTAACCAGGCTTTTCTAGGAGGAACTCTCTCCGATCCAAAGAGGCTGTCGGCACACAGTGGTCACGACTTAGGGCGTTCTAGCATAGCTGTCCAGGAATTCCAAGAAAAATCCACTCTATCGACATTAAAAATGTCGAGACGACAAAAAAATCGAGCAGTACCGAAGCCAAATGGGTGCAAGAGACGAATGAAATTGCCGAGATTCGAAAAAGATTTGATGTCGGGTCAAATAACGAGACTAATTATTCCGAAGAATCCAAAGCAACCTTTCTAAGGAACATTTTTGAAGAAACAGAAAAATTTTAACCAGCGCTTATAAATACGGTTTTAAGACTCAGGAATCAAAGTGGGTTACAGCGTTTTATTGTTTTTAGTGTTACGATCAAATCGGCAGTACAACAATGACACAATTCAGCCTGTGGAGAGCGGCCACCGTCCAGTGGTTTTAGGCTCGTTTTCTCGAAAATTAATCATAGACGAAAATAGCGGAAGCGATTCATACTACGACCTCTAGATAACGAGTTCGTTAGTGCATCATTTAGGACTGATCCTATGACCCAGCTTTGATAAATGATAAGGCTATGCAATCTGTGTTCATGTGCATATGAGAAGCTACATAAATAGACTATTTTTCTTCATAGAAGTAGGGTGCACCATGGATTCGATTTGCTATGCATGAGTGGAACATGATTTAATTTATTTTCATAGTAATCTAGTCAATCATGGTTTAACTTATGGCATAATTTAGTATAGTTTAGGTTGCAATTTCTAGATTAAAACTGTATTAGTCTAGTGTTTCTATTCCTAAAAACGGCTCTGATACCAATTTCCCTAACCCAGAGTGGTGGAAGCTTTGGTAGGCGTGGTGCTCCGGGTAGAACTATGGACCCAGTGTGTATTGCAATATATTTCAAGTGACGTCGCTGTATAAGCACCAGTCAGAATGTTAAGTTTTAGCCTTTCGTGGCGACTTTATACATGATAAGGAACAAACTTTTTGGCATTTCAATGCTGCGGTGGCGTACACCACCCGATGGTACGACCGATCAAAATGAAAGGCGAGCTCATAACGGGGAAGAGTCTCTACCTCCTTATTGAATGCTCCCTTGATCTTTTTATTCTCTTAACATTTTTCCTATATTTGTAAAATCCTTAGAGCACACTATCTTTTGCCACTGTAGTTTGCTTTTTAGTTTTGTTTTGGCTTGTGTTTTTTTTTGATAAATATCCTTTTCCTGGCTGACCTTAGTCCGCCACACGGATTTACAATGCATTCGGACAGAACGTTCTATGTAGTGATTTGAATTCGGGAATGTGTAGTAAGAAAGCTAGTTGTAGCTCTTCATAGTAGGTGTGTGGATTGACGTCGTTCCTTTCCATAACCTTCGACCCTTGTGCACTGCCGCTATTTTCCAAAAAATAAATATTTGCGACCAGTTGGGTTCATGAATTGAAGTGAAGTGCTGTGTCACCAACTGCCGTACTTTTCCTTTTAGTGTGGTACGCTAAAAAGTTCGAAAAAGTCTTGGATTTTTCACCACATTGCGTTCGCTTAAAAAGCAAAGCACACCTGCTAAAGGAAATCCCTTCATACTTTAAGTGATGGCAGGGTTGCAACCAGGGCGTGGCTTAACAGGTTTACGGATTTCTTTCGAAATATCTCCGGAACATGAATGTGTCGTTTTCTTGTTCAGCAATCGCGAGGTTTTTAAACAGCATACATTAGCTTCCATAGAAAA